CATTCATCCAGCTTATCCCAGCTGTCACAGGGCAAGAGGCAGGGTACACCCAGGACAGGTCACCAGTCTGTAGCAGGGCTTGAAGGAGAATCAGTATTTCCTTTTGTTGTTGTTGTTGTTGTTTTAAAAAAGGCTAACTTTTCAGTTAGGAATTGCTGGCTGGGGTCGCTGTTCCTTGGATGAATCTCTCAGGTGGAGTGCAAGATGCATCCAGACAAGGCCTGCTGTATTAGCATGATGTGCGTTTAACAGGTATAATGTACAGAAGAACATAAAACAGTATTCACCTTCAGAAAGGCGTTTACTATCTTTACCACATACTCATCACTTATTTATTTTTTTGGCTAACCACCACACTGCAGTATGGTGTGATGGTGATTATCACTGTTGCCTCACAGCAAGAAGATCCTGGGGTTGACTCCACCATCTGGCCAAGGCCTTTCTGTGTGTTGTTGTTATCTTTGTTTGCGTGGGTTCTTTGCAGGTACTCTCGGTTCCTCCCACAGTCCAGAGACATGTAGTTAGTGGGGTTAGGTTAATGGGAATGTGAGTGCAAATAGCTGTCTGTCTCTGTGTTAGCCCTGCTACAGACTGGTGACCTGTCCAGGGTGTAACCTGCCTCTTGCCCTATGGCAGCTGGGACAGACTCCAGCCCCCCTGCAACTTTGGTAAGGATAACCAGAAGAGAATCAATTTTTCTTTTTTTTTGCATGCTGATAGGTGGTTGTTACAGTTAATATCACGTACTGTAAAATCCACACACCAATTTTAAACTCCACAGACAGTGCAAAACTGTCAGGATGGGGCATAAAGGCCAATGATGGAAAAATATAGGAAGGGAGGGGCTTTGAAGGAAAAAAGCCCAAGTTTTAGTTATAAATTCGCAGGGAAGACTTGCCAAAGTTTGACCAATAGACCGGATTTACACGAAACAGAAGAAAGCAAACACAGTTTCTTTCTGTAAATCTTTATGTGAATACAAGAAAAATCAGAAATCACAGTTTACTGCATCTTCTAGTAAATGTAAAATCAGTCTATTGCACCTATTCATACACAAACAAAAAAAAACCCAGCCAGAGTTAACACTGTTACAAACTCCTTGTCCTGGACTGAACCCACCGCAAGATGAAAGAGCGCTTTCTCCACATCTGTCAGCACATCTGTGATACACATCTGAATACACACTTCAAACACTTGAGTAATTTCAGGTTACAGGATAGATCTGAGAGATCGAGTGAAAGGAGCTTAAATGTGTTTTTCTCTATTGTTCTTCCCGTCTTGCATCTGTTACAGCTTCACTTTCATATGGACACAGATCTGAAACGAAGGAAGGAAATCAAACTGATGAGTCATTGTTTACATTAGATGTACTGCTTACTGTTTGCGTGGATGGTGAACGCATCTCACCTGTAGTGTTTGCAAAGTATAAATCTAGTGTGAAGTTGAGGCACTCAGCCTGTTTCTTGAGGACTTCGAGATGAGAGGCCTCCAGTGTCCCAGTCTTTGCTGGAGGTAGGGGATGGCAGTGTTAACATTATTTTCAACAGAGTGGCAAAAACAATAAAAAAAAAAAACAGTTTGAAACTAATTATTAACATTACAGAGTCCTAAAAGTTGGACACATATGGACACAGACAGGCAAATGCAACTCACTGAAGATCCTGAAGCCTCTGCTTTTTGTGGTTTCGCCGCCGACCTCTGACACCAAGTGGTCTGTCCAAAGCATGCAGTCGGGGCAAGTGGCCAGATGCTTGCCAATATGCTCATGAGTGGTGGAGTTATAGTAATCTGTAAGATACAAATTAGATGGTTGCCATGTTGTTTTACATCACAGTGACTATTTGATAATGTGAGTATAACAACATGTGATCTCTTACACGTGTCTGTGGAAGAGTTTCCTAAGAAGGTGGCATTGACACTTCCATGATAACATTTTCCATCCCTGTTAAGGAGCAGGAAAAAAATATAAGCACATGAAAAAACAAAGAAAAAAGTCAAGAGGTCAAATTACGTAACTCATTTGATGCTTCAAAGCAGGGGTGTCAAACTCATCTCATTAAAAAACTGTAAACCTTGTTAAAAGCCCCAAATTTATGCCCTCCTTCTCATCTTCCTAAATTGTCCACTGGACTGGATTTGAGCCTTTGCTAGGCCGATTCTGGCCCACGGGCCTTATGTTTAACACCCCTGCCTTGAAGGTAGTACAAATCATTTAGAAAATATCGACAATTACGCTTTGTGTCCGAAGCGACTGAGCATGTCTTCACTGTCAGGTATGGGAGTCTGTTCGACCCAGAAGCTGTGCAGAGTTTTAAGCTCTTTTAATTGCTCTTTGCTGTCTGATGTTCCAGCGTAAAATATCCATTTTCCCCAAAGCTTGAGAAAGAAAAAAGAAAAAGTAAATTCAACTTCCAAAGAGATTCACAGCAGGTTCTAAAGAACCAGCATTTCTATTGAAAACAGAAAGGAGTTTACCATCTTTACCACATGCATAAACATGATCATCACTTGTTTCTGTGATCATATATAATAATAAGTTTATACATGCAAAATCACCAGTGGGACCTTTTTAACCATCCAAGGTGAAGTCTGTTTTGTTTGTTTGTTTGTTTGTTTTTATTGCTAGAGCTAGGAGCATCAGCGATGATGATTCAGCCCTCAGGGATTTAAAACAATTTAAACTCAGATCTGCTTCATGGTGAATGTCTCTGCTGAGGACACTGTACCTTGCTATGATCCTCCACAGGCTTAATGAGTTCTTCGCAGCCTGGATCAGACGCACCAGAGAGCGAGAAGAGAGCCAGCAAAGCCAGGGAACAATGAAGGAACATGACGACAAGTCAAATGACAGGCAGCTGTATACTACTGCAAGACCACAACAGCTGGACTCTTATAGGGAAGGTGCAGCGGGGAAGTTACATAAGACAGGAGGTGGTCTTTAATGGGATTGTGCAATATTGGTACAGATAAGGATAAAGCTTTAATTTTTTTTTTTATCTGTGGTGTGCGCGTTTGCAGAATAACAAAATGGAAAACAGCAAACAATATGAATGTGCTGCATTCCTGCAAAAGCTTCTCACAGACATGTGAAACAGATATTCTCTTTATCCGTCAAGTATGAAGTGAGCAGCAGCAAAAGTATTTGACAGATTTGGGTAGGGTGGCACAGAAATAAACTATTTCACAATTACCATCTGTTGCAGCCTGGAATTGCCAGTTATTGCAGAACACTGGAAACTTACTGGAATTTCCAGGGTAGCATCAGCCAAAACACAGAAAGTACAAATAAAGCAGATTCCTGAAAAACAAAAGCAAGCATAGCGTGTCCTTTTGTAGATTTCAGTTAATATAGGAGACAAGAAAAACCCTTTTCCAACATTATTTAACCCAACTGCAGTATTAATGAAATTAGTTTGTTGACTTGTCTTTAGCAGACCTACTGCTGAATGTCGCAGGTTCATTAGTGAATAGCTTTATGAGTCTCATCAGCTTTGTCTTTACCAAAGCTCCCAGTCATCACCTGGATGACCTACAGAGACATACTTTAGACCAGGGAGTAACACAGAGTGCGACAGTCAAACGCTTAACTACCTGTCTCACATTGAACTCCCTGCAAGATAAAAAAAAAAAAAAGAGCACCAACACATCAGCGATACAGAGTTCCCTCATGTCAAAGAAAGCACATCTGAATACAAATGTGACTCATGGAGCCAGTTGATGTCTCTGGTTAGACTTGAGCGATACAGCAGGTGATAACAGTGTTTTATTGCTTTTTCCCTTTACATCTCCGGCACTTTCCTTCTCATTGGGACACAGATCTGAAACAGAGGAGGGAAATCAAACTAATGAGTCTCAGAACAAACACGGCTTAAAGTCAAGTTTATGAACGTCAATATAGAGATAAATATTCTTAGATTGGGGGGAGGTATGGTGAATTTAAGAGACATGATAGAAACCAGAGGACACTTAACTAGATATTGCAAAAATGACGCAACCCGATTTGCTGAGAATCGGGTCGTCACACCGAATGTGAAAATTGATAAAATATTTTATATTAACTACAGTTTTTATGTATTATCTGCAAACTTTACGGTGATAAACTGGGCCTTGGGGGACACGAATAGGTTGGCGAAGCTTTTGACCTTAACCATCATTGTTAGTGCCCAAGATCAAAGTTGACCTTGACTGAAAAAAAACAAACAAACCCCAAAACATATTGAGTAATACAGCATATGAAAGGCATAGAGCAGGGGTCTCAAACTGCAGTCCTAGAGGGCCGGTGTCCTGAGGTGGCAATTCAGCCATTTGATTCATGTTACAGCTGCTCATGACATGGTGAAATAAAAGTACTTTTAGAAGTACATTTTTCCAAACACTTACATTTACTTAAATTTACTTGAGTAGGGTCAGGAGTTTTCTCCTCAGCCTGCAGTCAAGTTCTATACTCTTCCTAATGACCTACTAATTTATTCAGGTGTGTTGCAATAGGGACACATGGAAAGGTTTCAGGACACCAGCCCTCGAGGACTGGAGTTTGAGCCCTTGGCTAGAGAGAGCTGTACAACACACTCTTTTTTTTTTTCAATACGATGGCCTACGACTTTACAGTGACGTCATAACAGGCTGATATCAGCATGATGTAATAAAAACAACATAAGCCATAACAACTTTGATGTTATTACTGTTATAACTAGAGTAACAACATCGAGTTTTAGCATAGCCTCTAGCATAGCCCTTGCTCTCCTGGGGGACTTGCTGTTGTTACTATTATTATTAAAATATGTAGCTATACATGTAAAGCTATCCATCTATCTACCTGTCTATCAAATTTTAAGTACAAAATCCATCCCCAAATGATTGTTTGATAGAAGTTATACAACAGGTTTGGTAAATTTAAGTACAGCTTTAACAAACACAATTGTGATCATATTCATATAATTTCATCAGCAGATACTTTCAAAGGCACTCCAAAGTCTGTTCAAAATGAAAAGAGATGACACTTTAAGGTTAGAGAAGCTTTATATCAGCATAGTCAAAACCCATGAAACTTCTCTGTGTATTTACAAAAACATAATACAAGAATAAAAAAGAGAAAATGAACACGTCACAAATGGAGTCCCACATACTGTCACAAAAACAGAAAGAAAAAAAATGATCCAATTTACAAATTGATCTTTATGTACTCCCACTTATGGCTTCAATCTAACACAAAACAAAATAAAACATCTCAGGTCAGCTGTGATGGTGCGCCATCAGTCCATCGTTCCCTTTGCAATAATAATTCTCTCTAGCATTATCTTTAAATAATAATAATAATAATATCAAATACACATACAAGACAGAGGAGCTACATTTGTGAGCTGTACACTTTGCAGTAAGGGAAGGGAAAGGAGAATGTTTGCAGGAATATTCACCCTTTGTACATGATAATAATTCATCTTGGGCAGTGAAAAAGGTTTCAAAGATTATTTAAAAACGAGCTTGTTTTAATTTTCTGTACCAACCAATTGTTCATCATACTAAAAATCACAGTTTTTCCGGATGACAGTTAAGTATGAGTGACCAAAGCTTGCAGTTTATCATCCATACTGCTTACCTCTTATTACTTCTCTTTCTCATTTGAACATTTTTATGTCTAGGATATGGGAGCATGTTTTGTCACCAAGTAAAACAAACAAACAAACTAATGATTTCCTTCATTTCTGTCAAAAACATTTGCTTCGGCCCCACAAAAGCACATAATGGGAAAAACCCACAGGATGAATTGTAGTAAGAGTTCAGGTGAAATAAAAACTTTCAGTCTGTACAGTACTACTGAGTACTACGGAGTACTACGGAGTACTAACTTTTGTGCAAACATTCCTCAGCCTTATGCTGACTTCAGTTTAATTACAATTAGCATAGTGACTGATCTTATGTGACTTAAAGCCAGACTATGAAGTTTTTAAAGACGAATTAGCTTGTTTTCCCTCAGACTAATTGAAAGATGAATCCGTAACTACTAGAATGCATGAATGCTTAGTTCAATACATTCAGGACTTTTGCTTTATCTGTCTTGCTTGGTCTGGTATGACCATTAGCTTTTAGTTGCTAAATGTTAGCTAATGCAATGACCTATCTACAATGCCACTTTGCCGACTTTTGTGTTTAGACATTTCCCATTTCCACCTGTTGCATGTTGGCCGCTGTTAAAGCAGGTTCATAGTCTCACTTTAAGCCTTGAGCGAGTTTTTTTCTTAATGAACATTCGCCTTCAAATTAAATACGAAAACAAATATTGTCAAGTGGGATGAGAAAACCATTGATAGTATAAAACTTTAAATGCAATGTATGCGGTCTTTAGACATTTACAAACTCTAAAAAGACTTCTCAAATATCGGCCCAAGGATTGCGATGTCTCTCCACTTCTCTTCTGGTACTGCAAACAGACTAATTAGAAAAAAGAAGACTTGATGACAGCCATTTAGATCAATCAAACAGTGACTTTATATATTTAAACTCACTGGAATTTTAACTTTAGGCTACTGGTATTTTGTTTTTGGGTGCCGAGCTTTGTGATCTGATGCAAAGGCAGGAAAATCTGTCTGTGACCGGACTGTTTGCACTCTCATACACACCGTATGCAAATTTACAGTTCTCCTCTGGGTCAATTTAGTTCCTTTGTACAGTCTCATTGGAGCAGAGGAAGAGCAGATGAAGGTAGCAGAGTCACCACTTAGAACTGGAGAAAAACAGGAGCGTAGAAACATGGACAGAAACCATGGAAGGGTGGGACTTCGGTCAGGGGGGGTAGTAGTAGTAAGATGGTGCCTGGGGCTACTGTCCGATTGGGCAGGTGGTGGAGGAAGAGTCACTGGCCTAGATGGCATCACATCATGTCTCACTGCTTTTTGGTGAGCCACACCAGGTTATTGAGCGACAGACCAAACCTGCTTCCAGAGCCCTCACACACTCATCGTCATGTTTGGAGAATACTGCAGAAAAAAGTTAAGCAGAAACATAAAAACGCAACTGTTTATGTGTTTAAGAGAGGAAAGCACATCTCTAGCCATCAGTCTTAATTATGCAACAGTCACACGAAGCATATTAGTGGTTGGAGACCAAAATTGCTAGGACCATATGCGCCAAGTGGGACTTTGTTGCCTTTGAAATGATTGCTTTGAAGACAGGGATCAGGTCTGTGAGCACTCGCAGTCAGCTGCGAAGCCTCTTTGTTTCACCAGCAAGAATTAGCATCACATTTAAAATCACGGCTGCATCATGGGAACTAAGCTAACTAGCCAGAGATAATGCTGGTGAAAATACACTATGTCCAGTTTAAACAAAGAAAAAGAAGATGGCGATGGCCATAAAGTCGAGGCTTCAGAACAGTAGTCAGCAAACCAGTGGTGGTGTTATCTTTTATATACAGTCTATGTATCTTGCAGAGACTAGTAAGACTGATATTATCCGCATGGTAAAAAGTACAGCAAGTAGTAACTTAGCTTAGCATAAAAAATGGGCATGTTTAAGGCAAAGTATTACAGGGAACTCTCAGCAGCAAACACCTCCAGTAATCCCATATATTAAGAAACTAATTTTCACTCACACTTTCGCTCTGAAAAGGGTTGAGGAAGTTTCCTCCCATCTCTCCATCCTCCCGAGGCGTCCCAGGCTGATTACTCATACTTAGGTTACCAGGAGAGTTCTGTTCAAAGACAAATAAAACATATATCACAGTATCTGCTACAAAAATCAGAAGTGTAGTTCAGAGTAGGTGAAAAACTTCTCATACCTTGGGGAGACTGTCCATATCGCCCGACCCTGAAGGAGGGAACACAAGTATGAAAATAATGCACATCACCACGATCAAATGAATACTCATTTTTCATGACAAATCAGGGACAAACATAACCAGAGGTTTTTTAGTTTGTTTGTTTTACCCCTGCCGGACACAGAAGCTTCTTGTTTTTGTACCTAAAGAGCCATTCATGTGATGTGGCTCCATCCCGGCCATTCCCCCTAATGGACCGTCACTGCCTGCACCCATAGGAAACTTTGGAGAACACACATAGGGCAAGTTAACGGCAGTATTCCTGTTTGACTTGTAACACTAACTCAGACCCAATAGCCACTCACATTTGGCCGGCTTCCACCTGGAGGGACTGTGTTTATCATAGTGTACATGTTGTCGCCAGAGTTAGTTGAATCTGACAGAACACAAAAAGGAAAACGGAAACAGTAAGAAAATTAAAGGTCAGTAGCATGTTTATATATCTACATACACATATACAACTGATACACACAGAGCTTACCTGCTGGACTTGGCATTATTGGTGTTCCAGGTGGCCCTCCTCCCCCCGGAGGTCCCTGAAATGAGAGTTTTGTTTTCATGACATTCATGCATGATCCTGTGAATTAAAGCCTATTTAGCTAGTTTAAGAGTTTCAAACATACATACCGCATAGCTTCCTGGTGACGCAGAAGAGTATGGGGTCTACAAAGACAAAGAAGTAAACCACTCAAGTCATGACATGAAAATGAAACTTCTTCTTCTGTATTTTTGTTGCAGGACTTACAGAATTGGAGTTGGGAGGATTTGGCCAGGGTCTACCACCACCAGGTCCCCTAGAAAACACCCATACACTTGAGTTTTTTGCATTTGGCAGGGTCTTTGTTTCCAATTTATTTGGGAAGAGCTGGCAATAACAAGCTCCCCAGATGCCAGAAAAAAAGTAAATGGAAGAAGAAGAAGAAAAAACTAAAGAAGACTAAATAGAGGGAAAGGTTAAGGTTGTGGTTTCATGTTCAGAGCCAAAAGTTAAAAACATGTGGTAAAGCTGTAGGCAAAAGACAGTTAAAGGAAACGGCTGACTATAACAACTCTACTGAGTGATTAAAGATAGCTGACATTTGGAGAAAAATGTGCTGAGTAAGCTTACATTTTTAAAATAGACACACAGACAAGTGTATTTTACTCTTTTATAAGCTCATGTGCTCAGATAGGCCTTATGCTACTCTGTCTATATGTGCGTGTGTTATGGTGTTATTCATATACCACTCACATGCTCATACCAGGCATCCCAGGACCAACCAGAGCATTCAGTGGTGGCCTCATCCCACCTCCATAGTTCTGGGAAAAAACAGAAACCAGAATTCCATTTGGACACGACTACATGAGAGTAACTATCAGAAACAAAACTTACAGCAAGTAGTCCTCAAAGAAAAATCATCTTGACCCAAACCTGGGGTCCTAGTGGGACCATGCCCCTGGGTGGAGTCATCCTCTGCATTGGTCCTCCCATATTTGGATGTCCTGAAGTGTAGGATTTACCAGAATGAGAAAAGGTTCTCTTCAAACATGCATTTTTGTGTTTAACACCTTTTTGTGGCCACTTTGGTAACTCAAACCACAGACGAGGATGCATTTTTAAGGCGACGAGACTTAGATGGCACAAATGCTAAAATTTACAGCTGCTTCAGTGACACCGTTTTCTTGGTCTGATGTTGGTTCGACAGCGGCTGAACACCATCTTCACCCATGAATAATTTAAGCGTTGTCTGGAGCAGTGAGTAGTTTGCGTAAATGGGAGTATGCTTGATTCATAAGAATACCGAACATGCTGGTTTTAATATTAATGATAATAGTATATCAGGGAGAGGCTAACCATGAGTTCATCTTGGTAACAAGCAGCTTTCAACTGGGTTTCACGGTTATCTGAACACTGTTAAAAACTCACAAACGTGCCATTCTTCCAGTGCAATGAATAAGGGCGACTGTTTCTTTATATACCGTCTTTGATCAGATATAACAACGCTTTCAATTTCCAGTGTGTTATGTGATTTCTAGAGGGACTCTCCAGAGAATGTATTGTCATAAAACCTTTGTTTCACGATCCCCTCGGGAACCCATTCTGACTTTGGTGATTCCCTTCTCCCAATTATAGTGTCATAATGGGGTTTATTTATTTTGTAATGAAATATCTTGACAGCTACTACGGTAAAATTTGGCTCAGCAATCCATGATCTATAGGTGGAGAGTCCTCTTTTAGTCGTGTTAATACATAAGGGTGCATGTTTTAAGGGCAAAACCTCAATCAGGCTATGATCGCACAGTAAATATTATTTCAAAAGACAAAATCCTGCCTGCCTGCATTATTGTTAAATAAAGTAATTATTGACTATATGTGTGTGTTTCAGTGTGGGCATGCACCTTGCTGTCTTGTGGGATCCATTCCACTTGGTAACATAGGCTGGCTCCCTGGAACTCCTCCAAGACCCTACAGAAAGAAGAGGATCCATCTCCAATGTTATAATCACTGTGATGTTGCTCATTTATACAATTCAGTTACGTCTGCTGCCTGCAGGGGTCAGTCTGGCTCTTACCTGATTCGGTAATCTGAGGGGCGGTCTTGGTCCTCCGGGGTATCGAGGTGACATAAATGGCTAAAAATTAGGCAAATAAAATATTACATGCAGACAAATAAATGGACTGACCACATGTGTAACAAAGATTTAGAGGGTGGCACAGTGGGAACTTTATACGCTCTTCAAAGCAGGGAACCAACCAGAGCTGCTTTTATGTTTTCACTTGAATTCAGGGCTCATTTTCCTTTAACCATACAGCAAACGGAGGAAGCTGACCGCATTTTCACTGGAGTGAATTTATGGGGGGGAGAAAAAAAATGACAGGAAAAAGAAGGATGATAATGATGTCAGTGCGTGTGTTAACTCTGTGGAATTTGGCAGCCTGTATGAGGAGCTCTTTTGCAGCTGTGAGTGGGCTTTCACTTGTCCTCACCACAGACAGTAGCAATGCTGTTGCTATGTCTGCTGAACTGATGCCACCCCGGACAGAAGAGCCACTCTGCAGTGGTGGAGGAGCAATGCAGAAATCTGCCACTAGAGAGCAATGGTCCTCTTAATTTAATCAGAGCCTTCACTTAAATTGCTGTCTTAGTTGTGCTTAAATCAACTGGATGAAGCTACAGCATTTTAGGTTTCTTTAGTGATGGCGTTACTATTTTTTTTTATTATTAATTAAAAAATGTAAACAACTAATCATTATCAGCAAATGACGTAACAGAATTTGAATGAATAAAACAAAGCATCATTTGTGACTGACTTTGGAAATAATGTGCAATTTATCACAAAAAAAAAAAGATAGTGCAGATGTTCCGTTATATTTCATACACAAAAAACCAGACAGAAGAGCTGGCAATCAGGTAATTGTTATATTTCTTTAACTAAGGTCCTGACAAGACCTTGCCTTCAAAGAGCGACTGATCTTCAGAAGCAGACGGAAAAAGTCTTTCGGACTCACATGTGAGTTTATGAAAGCGGAACTAAGAAATGCCCGGGAAGACTATTGATCTTTACGTCTAATCCGAGCGCCTGAATTTGACTGATAATGACGTTTAATCGATGTACAACTGGCAGAGGCCTTCACGGATGATCTGGGGCAATGCTGCATTTGTGCGTTTTTGTGTGCCAGAAATTTATCTCTCCTGTCAGATTAGTTGTGTTTGAGATTGTACACATATTCAAAGGTAACGTACGTGAATATACATACAGTTGTTGTTATCTGAGAGTGAGTTCTTGCTCTTAGGGGATTCATTGGATTTCTAGTTAGGATGTTTGCAATGCGCTCTTTCAATTTAAAATGCCTGGAGATGGCTTGTTGCTGTGATTTGGAGCAGTTTCAATACAATGCAATTGAAATGAAGTGAGACTGAATCTGCCAAATATGGGGAAGCTTAAATTTGAGCTGATATTACATCCTGTGGAGTGACAGAAACATGGCCGTTCAGCTCTGCGTTGCATGCATACCTGAAAGAATCCCGGTGGGACTGGCCCTACTGGCATGCCCTCTCCTGGGGGAAGGTTACCGAGGACTGGGCTCGGTGCTGCTGCGGCACTCTGAAAGAGACAAATGGCGAAAAAGGGAGACTTCAACTCAGATCTCAGACTTGTCAGAAACAACAAACTCAACACCTCATTCACCTGTTTCATCAGCTACTCTCCATTTTTCTGCAGAATAAGCAAACAGATATAATAGTTTGGATAATTTCTGTCTTCCTCAAAGCAGGAATTTACTTATCCATGTTGCAAAGACAACACATCTAACACCAAATACCAGATAAGCCTGCTACCACTTATATAAAAGTCATAGTCTGCACTGCGAGGGTCTTTCCCCATCTCTCTCCCTCAGTGGGATATTTCCTGTTTCTGCAGATGCCCTGCCATGTTGGCCCAGGTTTATTTTTATTCAATGCGTTTTTGTTGTGCTTGTCCCAGACGGGTGGCGCTGGATCATTTCAGCACTGCCTCTGTCTGCTTCCTGTCGCATTGTACAACCAAGTTACCACCCAGCACCGGCCTCTTCTTCCTCATCCTCTTTAGGAATACAGAGCAGACAACGCACAGTGTGGGAGCGTGTACGTACATCCATATATTGTACACAATAACGTGTGAACAGTGGGCTCATGAAGCCGGAGTGACTGCATCCGTGTCAGTATCTGCCCACTCTCTGTTCTATTTTTCTGATCTTCCTTTTCACTTTCTCTCCCCCTCTGAAGGCACTGGAGGGGTGTAAAGAGATCCAGCGAAATTCACCCAACAGTCTCTGAAGTTTCCGCCAGCTGACTTTTTAGGTCAGACAGGAACAAGGTTTAATCAGAGCTGAGATAAAAGCAGACTGACGACATCCCTGTATCCTCCTCTGCTCCACCCCGCCACCCTCTCTGTTCCTTCGCTCTCATATCTCTCGATCGTTAATGTTGAGCAATGTCGAACAGGATGCCGTGCAGTTTTTAGATTCTATATTCTGCTGTAAACATAGGCTGTATTTGTCTCAGCAGATGAACGTACAGATGGACACAGATGGATATTTGCAGCTCCATGGTTCAGTAGCGGGAGGCTGGATTTGGTGTGTGTGTCTGTTTCTGTGTGTACAAAATCATGCACTGCATCAAGTGTGTTTTGTTTTTTGGGATTTTTTCTCCCCTTTTATTCCCTCTCCCTCCTCGCACCCTGGATTACCCAGAATGCCTTTCCACCCTGGCAGCCTGGAGGTCTGCTGAGTTTGCCTTCGTGCACCGAGAGAGGGAGGGAAAGAGGAGAAAAGAGGACAAAGCAGAGATTATGAGTGTGTGTGTGTGTGTGTGTGTGCATGTGGCAGTGAGTGTGTGAGCGCACTTAATGTTTGTGGTGGAAAAAGAAGAACGGGAGGAGGGAGGAGGAGGGGATCTACCTGACCTGCTGACAAAGCAGCATTTTCCCAAACACCCAAACACGGCAACGAGGAGAAATAAAAGCAAAAACAACAAGCCTCAAAAAGCAGGACCACCTCTCATACATGGAAAACTACAGCAACGCTAAAAGCTCTGGTACTGCTGCCGACGGTTAAGTGCCTTTTGATTACGACAAATCAGGTTGAGTCAAATGACATTAAAATCTGAATGAATCACATGTTTAACAAAGCCTCTTTAAAAGAAGTGATTTTTCCCCCCCATGTTTGTCTCCATACGTTGATCTCTAGAAGAGTCACGTGGGTTAAACAGTGTAAAACTGGGATTTGGAAACAGGCGTATTTGCTTTGCCAGTTGTGGCAAGCAGCTTCATGGCCTATTCTCTCATTTTCACAATGACAAATGAAGCAAATGAGAACAAAAACAAAAACGCTGAGTTGATTCTAAATATTGAAAATGCAGTTTTTAGATTTTTAGGTGAAGGAGTTGAAAACCGCCCAAAATAAACCAACCAGAGAGACAGCAAAAACTTTGAGTGGCCGAACTAACAGTGTGGTAACTTCTTAAACAGAATGAATGCGCTGCTCAGCTCAGCAACACCAAAAGACCTGCAAGACCACAGAGGACAACTGCAGTGGATGATTGCAGAATTCTTTCCTTTGTTATAAAAACCCTTCACAACATTTAACCATTTTAACCTCTGCTACAGTAACACATTCAAGGACGTGGGCATATACCCAAGCTCCCTAAAAAGCCATTCGCTGATCCAGAATGCTGCAGCCAGAGTACTGACAGGAACTAGGCACGGAGAGCATATTTCTCTTCACTGGCTCGCTGTTAAATTCAGAACTGAATTAAAAATCCTTCTCCTCACATACTAAATCTTGAATAATCAGGCCCCGATCTTAGCTATAAGACTGCTGGTTTACTTTTAGTTCCTAGATTTGAGAAAGTAGAACTGTTGGTTACACTCAAGAACAAGGAGGTCAGACTGGACTTTGCCAGGAAACATCTAAAAGAGCCGGGAAGAAACAGCTAACGGTAGAGCCGATCTTATGGCATTAGGATATATGGCTGCCAGTGGGACTGCTATAACAGTAGCAGCAGGATAACCTGTGAAGTGTGCAGGCCTGTACTCGCTGCTCAGATTCAGCCAAATGCTGCAAAACCGATCAGACAGTGCTTCACAATGGACAGATAATGACCCACACAAACCAAATCCAAAAGCAAACCAAGAGTTTCTCGAGCAAAGAAACGGGATAGTCTTCAGTGGACACGCCACTCACCTGATCATTATTTCCAGTTACTAAATACAAAACTGAAGGCTGAATCACGTGTGTCCTTCCCTCCTCTGAAAACAGAATCTATAAAATCTGTTCAGTTAAACTGACGGCAAAGCTTAAAGATCAGCAGAATCATAACACCTGGTGTCGCTGTATAATAGTAATGTGGTGCCATTACCTCGTGTTAGCCGCAGCGATGCTGTGATCCACACAGCAAACTCCTCGTTGTCAGTTCTGTTTAAATACCGATTCACAAGTGAGCTCAACATATTCCAGCACTTAACCTTAGCAACCACAAAAGATCCACAGATTGTTACACAGTTAATGAATCCATCATTAACACCTCTCACACATCAGTGTTTACACTTTTCTGACAAGGCCAAGTGAGAGGAACACTGAGATAATGAGGTGATGCCTGTACACATTAACACCGTACGGTAGTGTACATTATTGTGTGAATGTAGCTGCCAGCAGTGGTGCAGTGTAACGCTTCTGCATACACTTCTCACTGAACTTAAATGCAACCGAACACTGACGCTAATTTCCACTGCACTTCATTTGATGGACTTCATTGCCCATTCAATTTGCGAACAAGCTGTAAGGCCAATTATAACGCTCAGAAATTCTCAGCCCTTAAATGAAAATTAACCTGTCTGAAACTGGATTTGGGGGAACGACAACAATTTTTCTTGGCGAGTAAATCATTGCTTTTGCTGCCGATGTCCATGCAGCATTTTATAGTTTCATTGTTTGCTACATTTCCAGTTAAAAACATGAAGGGAAAACACTGCTTGACCGCGCACCACCGTTTGTTCAGCTGTGACACCTGTACAGCTGAAACATGCTCCATGAACAATGGCGTGAAACAGAAACACTGTGTAATGACAAAACTGCTTGATTATTATTTTTCTGTATAATATATATATTTTTTTAATAAACAACAAAAACTAGTATTAGACAACACCTGTACCTGCCTATAAGACAGCAAAACATAAGCCAAACGTGTTGGACTCTACCTTTTTCTTCAGTATAAATACTGAACTTAAATACAGTAAATGTACAAAAATAAAAAAAAATGAGTGTAAATTTTTAAATTTTAAGGGGTCTTTTTACAGTGCTGGGTCACAACAATCTGACCTGAGCTATTCTGTTACTCCAAAAGTCTTTGCCTTTTTTGCTGTATTGATCATGTGTTAGAGAGCATTGTTTTAATGAATGCACAATGGCGGAGAAAAGGTATTGCATGCATGTATGTAACATCGACCTGAACCATGATACCACAATGACTAAAACGCTCAGCGTTTGAGTTTTCCTTTAATTTGTCACACCCATCTGTAGATATACAGATAACCAGAATGTCAGTGAGCTCATTCGGCTCACTATCCATCACAGTTTACAGGTTATTGTCTGTGAAACGACAAATGTTACCTTGACCTTGAGCGCAGTTTGTGTGAAGACTCACTACACTAGGAGGAGTAGGCTAGCAGACGGATGCCTCGCCACGCCATAAGATAGTCGATCCTTCGGCCGGATGAGCTGATTAAAGTGTATAACAAATGAACTTATCTTCAAGAAGAGTAAGGTTCAGTCCACTTTAAGCAATTTCCATCACTTCTTTTCTTAAAACTATCTTCGTTCTTACACTCGTATCTTTTCCGATACTCCATCATTTTCTAGGGCGATCCAGAAAGACCTGATTGAAGCGTAACAAGACAATCAACTCTTCCGTCTGCCCATTCGGGAACCCCATTACATTACAGCTTTTCATTTAATGAAGCGCTGTGTGTGTTGTGTTCTCCCTACATTGCGGTTATTTGCACGCTAAACGAAGTGTTTGTGATGAAACCCGAGGCAGTGGAACAGCCCCCGAATGTCCTCAGATGAACACCTGCATCTCCTGGCAAACTCATTTGTTTCATAAATTATTCAAAACACCACCCTCCAGGAGGGGAATTACAGTATACCAGACATACACAACAAGGCATACAATAACACAAACTACAATTGCCATTTATGAAGTTTAAAAAAAAGGTCCAAAAAAGAGGCTAAAATAAGGTCAGCTTCTATTTCAAACTGTGAAGACTGGTAAATATAACAGCGTCTTTCCTGTGTGAAAGAAAAAAAGGCAGTAAATGTATCATATGTCACAACAAACAAGGGGGGGAAAAAAAATCACCCGAATTCGAGGTTTACTCACTGAAGTAAAGCTTTAGATGTATTAGATCTACCGCGTCCACTCTGTTATCAAAAAGCTTCCCATATTATGGAAATATGTATAATTTCTCCATCAGAAATGGCGCTTTCTCTCCCGAAGCATCTCCTGCTTTATGCCTGAAAACGACCCAAACATGTAATTTGCTAAACTTTTCTATAAAAAGCACAAAAA